ATGGAGGCTATTTCTACACATGTGTTTATATGTACTGCAAATATATCCATGAATATAGAAGAGCATACAGGTGGTAAAGTTATGAAAACTTCTCAGCCATAACCAAATACCTTGAGGGAATGTATTGCTGTGCCTGGGGGCTCATGACCATAGTCTCCAGGGACACTAAGATCACAAAAACTATGAGCAAATAAGAGTGAATAAAATCAAAGACACAAGGAAACAATTAGTCCAAAGGACTAATGGACCACATGAAACCCAGCCTCCATGACGCTGAAACTGGCTACCACTGTTGACTGCTCTGAAAGGGATTACAATCAGAGGTCCTGGATAGAGGGGGAGAAAAGTGTGGAATAAAACTCAAAATCATAAAAAAGACTAGGCTTATCTGGTACAACAGACACTGGTGGAACCCCTGAGATTATGGCCCTAAGACACCCTTCACGCCTGGAACTAAAGTGGCCCCTGTAGCTCAATTTTCAGCAAACAACAGACAGACCTACAAGGTGAACAATAATAACACCAGAGAGGTACTCGCTCATTAGAACAATCTACCATATGAGATCAAAAAGCAGCATGTGCCCAAGGATAAAGCTCAGAAGTCAGGAAAGGATAGGAAAGAAGGACAAGGGTATTGAGACAGGAAGTGGAACAAGTGCTTGCCCTGAAGGCTCAAGATCATGGTCTCAGAGTCACTAAGGTGACTTTGAGGGGATTGTAGTGAATGTCACAAAGCAAAACATGTATGAATTATTGAATGGAAAACCCATTTGCTCCATAAACATTTACCCAAATCATAATTAAAAAAGAAAAGAGAGAGAAAAAAAAAAAAAACATCTAGATATCAAATTAAAAAAAAAAAAAGTGACTTTCTTACATGGGAGGATATGGTTTAGTTCTTGCTTTCTTTATTTCATACTTGTCTGAGTTTTAGTGTATTCTTGTGATAGTTAAGGTTGTGTGTCAACTTGGCTGGGCCTGGTTTTGAGTGTCTGGGCAGCTGGATGTAGTATTCCTCATAATGAGAATGGTAATCAACTCCATGGCTGAATCTACTGTGAGCAGCTGAGTAGCTATCTTAGGGATGGGGTCTGTTCCCAGTATATAAAGAGAAGCTTTAGGAATGGTGTCCAGCTTTTGGGCATGTTTGGATCCTTTTTGGCATGTAGTTAAGTCTTCCAGCAGCCTGCCATACTCTGCCGATCTTGGGACTTTTTCTGGACTTGAATTAGTGGCCTGCTGTGGGGTTTGGTAATATTGGGACCCTGCCTTTTTACTTGTCGACCCTGGGTCAACCTCAGCAGCCAGCAGCTGCCTGAGTGAAGACAGCCTCCAGCTCCAGTGGGCCAGGAACAAGAGGCAGAGCTGAAGCCCAAGGTTGAAGGGATTTCACCCAGCCCCTAGAGCCTGGCACTTTGAACTCAGACTTCTAGGCTCCAAAACTATAAGAATAAACTCCTGGTAAAGACAACAAATATGAACCCTTTTGTACATACAGTACTGCGTTGTCAGTGAAGGCTAACATGGGTATATGGGTGGATAGATGGGTGGACAGGCTGAACAATTAGGTATGTCTATGAAATGGGGAGTGTATCCAAGAACATATATAGG